TTTTCAAGTTTGGTTTGGAACAACAAGACGGTGTTGTTGTTTCACTGTAGAAATAATGTGCTCTTTGTTTTTACCCTTTCGTTGTCGTGCTTATCGTCGGTGGGCGTGGAGCCGTCTCTCCCGCAGGTCTTTCGAGATTCGATTAATTTAGGTTTTCGTTGGATCCATCTGGATTTATGGTTTTTGTTGTCTTCGAAATTTCTTCAAGCCCTTATATGCGCTTTCTTCTCCGAGCCACTCGCCGTCAATGTAGAATGATGTCGTTGAAAAGAATGGAATGTTGTTTCGCTCTGCTGGATGCGTCGAATACCATATAAGATGCTCACTCTTTACCCCTGAGTATATCCCACCTTATCTTAGAACGGTCTTGCGACTATTTGCTTCGCAGATCACGGCTGTTGTCGTCTCTTGATCTACATCAATGATTTTTCAGCCACTGTCTCTACAAACTCATGGGTTAAAAAATTGCTCTGCCTAGGCGAAGGTCCAAAGACGACATCAAACTATGCTCACAGCGTGTCGCCTATGGATGCAGGAGGAAGAAGACTTGGGCACCCCCAAATATTTAAATATGAATTATTAGTTTTTGTATGTATGTGTTTGTAAGGACATGTTTGATTCGATCGGAGGGCGGACGATATACCCCTCCTTTATAATCTGGACAATCCCCTTTCTGAGTTAATAAATTCCCTTTTACCTTGAGAAAAAGGACGTGCGATATTTAATATATAGCATTAGGCCCTTTCGCAAAAATTATAAAAATACAAAGTGTCGTATATTTGAGGATTAATTCTTTTATCACAAAATGCATGACCTTGGACATTCAAATACTTAATTTCATACCCTGCAAAAGAAACTTAATTCCATACCACGCATAAAAAGCATCATGGGAGTAGAACTCGAGTATACTTCTTTTGCGCAGGGAAAGAAACTTGTGTACTTGGTCAACGTCTTTACTTGCTTTTCGGTTTCGGGGAAGATACGTAATTTACCGACCACCAACCCAAATAATATGTCGTGATAGAGAACATTGTTGAGTACTCAACATTGTTAGTAGCTGTAGCCATCAAGCCAAATAAAATAGAGCATATTGTTAGCTGTAATCCGCTAGTAGTGTGTTTGGTTGCTATCCTCACAAGTCGCTCTCCTGGTTTCACATTATTTCCAATTATGTCCTTCTGTTTCTGTTCATGCAAACTCAACACACCCCTTTCCTAGCACAAAGTGTAAAGTCAAGAAATGCGTGCTTAGAAAACACGATTAGACACAACCAAGGACAAATTAAGGCGATTGGAGATTAATGTTGTCACTGACAGTGACCCCGTGTAATGGTCCAAACTGTCGCCTGCTGTCGTGAGCAGGCAGGACAATATAGAAGCACCGAATCATCATCAAACAATCCGATATATCTCCTTCGTTTTCGAGATCTCAAAAATGATCATATTATCAGTGCATACATAGAGTATACTCCATATTATAACACACATTGCATTTCAATTGACGCCAGACGACGTCTGCTTCAGATGCCAGGGAACAGAGACTGACGTGCAAGCACGAGAGAATATCTGTTGTGGTACTGGTACAGCAGGAGAGAAGCGCATCATGTTTTGGTACCATCCATACCATACTGGCGCACATAGAAAACACAATATCAGTATCTTCAACAAGTGGACAAATGTTCTATTGCTCACATTGACTGGTTGTCTTGTCCAGACCAAACTGCTCATGCCACAAACTTTTATTTTCGGAGATCAACATATCTTTTGGTGTACACTAATCCAATGTATATTCTAGGATACAGGTTTGGTACAAAACTGCAAACTGCTTAGCAAAACCCTGAAATGTGGCAGATGAAAGAGAGGGAGGAGAATATATAAGAGGGCCTTCTCGTTCCAAGGCGGGTATTATGCATTTATGCTAGATCTGGTGCCAACGCAGGTGTACTGTTCGCAGAGCCGATTGGTTCTTGTAGGGCAAGGTTCAGCGGGAACATCTCGCATTGAGCAACATGTGCCATCAGTTGGTCCATGAGGACCAATGCGGCCATCGTCTCCACCATTGGAACAGCTACAAAAGCAATGACGGGGGAAAGATCAGATGATAGGACACTACTTCCTCTGTGAACTGCAAAAATGTCTTATATTTAGAGATACCAGAGGGAGTACTAGATAACAAAAGGTAGAATATTAGATGGGTCCATTACCCCGAGGGACAACACATGGGTCATGGCGACCCCTTGTCTTTAGTTCGATATCCTCATGATCCCTTGTTACAGTATTTTGCTTCTTCTGGAAAAATGAAATTAATACCTCAGATAAATGGCTATATAAACAACTGTTCCACATGTAGCATGCATGAAATATTGCCCTACTATACTCCAACGGAAAGAAAGCAAATGTTTTGCAACAAATAAACATTTTAATATTCATAGCTGCTAACAAGTTTAATACTTGACATAGCAGTGGTTATAAGTTGTTACGGCATAATATCATAGTTCTTGTCATTCGAAAAGCATGCCATGGAACATTGCTACCCTTTCAATAACATTTTCTCTGTTTTGTGATTCTGAAAGGAAGTTCTCTGCACCGGAATGGCTTACCCCAATAGTTGCTGTTGGCTTGAAAGCTACTTTGAAGTATATAGTTTCACCATTTGATATCCCTCCCTGCATGAACACAAATTAACAATGTACTGTCACACTTCTGATTTTAAGTACTCCCTCCGTTCCTAAATATAAGTCTTTGTAGAGATTTCAATATGAACCACATACGGATGTATATAGATGCATTTCAAGCTTAGATTCATTCATTTTGCTCCGTATGTAGTCCATCTAGTGGAATCTCTATAAAGACTTATATTTAGGAACGGAGGGAGTATTGAAAATGAACATTGTAATAGTAAAGCAGGGTGCTTTGATAAATACCTGTACACCGCCTGAGCGATTGGTTCGTGTTCTCACATTTCCAGCCTCATCCATATAAAACTCATCGTTATGCTCACTTCCAGTTAGGTCAGTACCTGCGAACAAGTTACTAATAGTCAGGCGATTTGGAAAGTAGGAGGCATTCCCACAGCAACTAATTTTGTGCAAACCAATTTCCTACCTGCAAATCCACTACCGATCTCAAACCCCTTGCTTGCAGGAAGAGAAAGCATAGCCTTTGCCAGTAGAGCTTCAAGTTTGTCAAATACAGGAGAGCCAAGCCCCTATAAATTATACCAGCAGGCAGAAGACAATGCATTACTATTACTGAATTATGTCAACGAAGATTGTGCAACAAATATGATGTATGATAATCATGAGTCGAGAACAAAATAGAGTGAGGCCTTGTTTGGTTTATTATGCTGGAACACACCAAAATCAACATAACAGAATCTTAATCTTAATACTTACACGAGGAACATTTCTGGCAATGCATGTGACCACCCCACCAATCGAATTCCCATTAATCCGTACTTTATCAATTGCATCAATCATCTTCTGTGCATATTCTGGATCAGGACATCTACAAATGTTGCTCTCTATCTGGAAATTAAAAAAAAATAAAAAATCCAGTAAATCACTGAGAGTATCCTGTACTGTTAGTTAAGAGGGTGGCAACCACGGACCTGATCCAGGGTAAGAGTTTCGTAATCAACTGCGTCTTCAGGAAGTACCACTTGATGCACTTTGGAAACAAATGCTAGAATCTGCAGGTAAATATTTATCCGCCATAAGGTACTGAAAAATTAAGAGATAACCACAAAATATGCCCTTCTGCGTGGGAATGAAATGGTGAAATAAATCAGTATTCACTGCAGCACGATACAGATTGCTCTATGCAACAGTATACAAGATGGATCGAAGTACATAGACAACTGAGTTGTCATATTTAGGTCAAGCAAGAACTGAAATAAAAGCAAAATAAAGAGGGGCCATCCAATAGGAAAACCACTGCTTATTTGCAAAATCCAGAGATGCTAATATTTAATTAAGACAAAAGTTGAATGCTTCGACATATTTAGGATGTATCCACATGCAAGTTTTCTTTATTCAGGCTATATTGTTTATCAAGCAGTAACCAGGGGAGTGACAAGGCTTGGTTACAGATGCGGAATAGTTAAAAAAAAGTAAGTGCCAAGTAGGACCAAACCTCTACTCCACATTTGAGCTTAAGAATTTTCTTTGCAACAGCTCCTGCAGCTACCCTTCCAATGGTTTCTCTTGCTGATGACCTTCCACCTCCCTATTATACAGTTCACATAGAAAATTGTTCAACTCAACTATTCAAGTACAGAAAACACCCACATGTAAAGTTGTAGCAGAAAAGCTGCAGCAGTTAGTGCATCACTGTGATAACTGATCTATACACCTTATATATGTATGACAACAGGTACCTGAACAGATCTAACACCGTACTTGAGGTCATAAGTTAAATCCGCATGGGAAGGTCTGTATGCCTTAGCCATTTCAGTGTAATCCTGTGGAACCAAATATGATTGTGAAACAAAAGGGTCAGTGCCAACAATTATTGCCCTTCCATGAGTATAGTTATTATAAATCTTATACTAGATACTTACACCCCCTCTTTGATCCGTGTTTGGGACAAAAACATGAATCGGCGTCCCAGTGGTCATTCCTGCAGAAAATACATTCAGCCTTGTCATAAAACTGATGCAAACTAATGCATTCTTATTTAAAAATCAAATTCACCAAGGATATCCCATGTCTTGAAATGTACCCTACCTTCATATGTCCCTGAAAGAATTTTACAAGTATCGGTCTCCTTCCTTGGGGTTGTTATTCTGCTCTGACCTGGCCGCCTGTGATAATCAACCTCTTCGTATTAGTTTACATCATGGAAATATCTAATGATTATATCTCCAAGAGGTTAACAGAATGCATTTGCAATGTCCTAATTCTGGCAGCAGCTGGAAAACTAATGAAATCTTGAAGCACACCTTCGATCAAGGTCTCCTTGCATGTCTTCCTCGGTGAGTGGGATTCTGGGTGGACAACCACTGATAACGCAGCCAACGCCACCTCCGTGAGACTCTCCATAAGTTGCAACCTGGAAGTAGTCCCCGAAGATATTTCCAGCCGCCTTCACCTCTGTTCTCCAATTGACAAAGCAACACATGTCAGAGTTAGCTCTTTTATGGTTCTCGTTCAAAGACAACTGCAGTTATGCAGCCATGCCGACCATCTCAGAATTCACATAAAACGTACAAATGCAGGATACAAAAAATAACAGCATTGGAACTAGGTGCTGTCACAACCCCTGAGATCTCAAAACAACAATAGAGATGCAACAGTGAACCTGTACTGAGCTATGGGTGATATGGCCAAACAATCATCTTTGAAATTGCGATCGCGGAAATACGGTCCCGAAAATGGCATCAGAAAGACGGCTTTTCTCTACATAACAGTTCACAAACCCTCTTCTCCATGCCACGAACGACGGCCATACTATACTATCAGGCAGCAGCTGACCAAGCAATCCTAAGCTCGCCTTAAGGCAATCAACCAGTTACCCCCAACCCCATAAACGGAGCAGACACGGCGAAGCGCGTTCTAACGACGGGAATCGAGGAGGCGCGGAGCAGCGGGACGGACCTAGGCGGGCGGCGCGGCGGCGGCCGACGGAGAAGCGGACGGAGGCGGGGGCGGAGTCCGTGAGCGCCCGGAACCCGCCGCGGGGGAGGGAGCTCCAGGGCGCCCCGGCGGCGAGCTGGTGCGACGTGGGCGCGGCTGCCATTGGAGGGGGGTGGTAGATTGGTTGGTCTGGTTACGGTTGGTGAGGCGGAACGGAGGAGGAAGGAGAGGGGGTGGACTCTAAATACGCGACGGAGAGGCGCCACCTACCTACCCCCTGGCTCCGGCGGCTCGGCTCGGGTCTGGTGGTCTGGTTTGGTTTCGTGCTGTATGCCGCACCTACGACGACGAGACCGGAGGCCCCGGTCCGGTGCGCGTTGGTGAGCGGATTGACTCGCTAAGCACAACACAAAGCTTTTCTTTTTTTGCGACTAAACGCAAGACAAAGTTTTTTTTATACAATAATAATGACCGGCCCTCTAAATGGACGGGCCGGCCGGGTCGAGCCGCTTGTCCCCGCGCGGGCCGAGCTAGAGCTGCTCCGCTCCTACGCGGGTGGAACAGTGGCGATGACCGAAGCTACTCTGCCCTCTTGGAGTTGTCCGCGCGGGGGCATGGTAGGAAAAGCCGATTGCCTATTCACCTTCATTGGTGTGACCTGTTGGTGGGGAGATCCCTTTTTCTCTCCGGTGCCTTTGACGTTATACAATGACGACTTGGTGGTCCGTGATATTAAGTATCGGTCTTTGACCATGAAGGAGCCAAAATGATCGTTGTTGCCATTTGTATTAATGCCATGCTCCTCAAGGAGAGCATCGAAGCTTCGCGCCTATGAAACGAGAAGAAGGCCGAGGGGGGAACCCTAGACGGAGATCTAAAGCGAACTCGGATCTCCCAGGCCCTCGCCGTCCTGCATGATTCTAACGCATCTATGGTCGGCTCCTCTCCCGACTCTGATTTTGACAGGCCCGACGACGACCCCTGTGCCATCTTTGAGCTCTACTACTGCCATAAAGATGCTAAGGGGAAAGGCAAACGCCGATGAAGATCCTTCCACTTTGTTGCCGGACATGCACGGAGACAAATGGGAGGCTCAAATGGTCATTTGTGGTTGGGGATGATATTAGTCTGAACAGGTTGAAGTTTCATCATAATCTCTATTAAGGACAATCCAATATATAACAATTAGATAATAGTGGAGTGGAAGAAGTTCCAATTGATGAGCAACACATACATACATATATTAACATGGCTAATCTTTGGATTTCCAGCTTTTTTTAGTTTTTTTAACTGGCTCTTGGGAGATTATGTGGGACCGTTTCTCTTATGAGGATTGGGCGGGGTAAAAACTATCATGTTGCGATTGTTCTCTCTGCTCGATGCATTTTTCTCGAACCATTTCCATCGCTTTCTATGCATATCTCCCTTTTTCTTTTAGCATGGTGCTCTCTCCCTAGCTTCTTCCACGAAGATTGTTAGTGGAAAGGCGAAACCCTGGATTAAACCGAGCAGAATATCCTCGGCAAACCGTCATAAAAAAATGGAGCCATCACTTGTATTATGTGATCTTCTCACTCAATACATGAAGGAGCATAAAACATAAGAAGGGTGGATCTAGAGACATTGAATTCAAAGAGCCTCTATTAGAAAATGATCACATAAATATTGATATTGTTGCGTCTCCTCGCAACAAGGAAACCATTTGATATTTTATCCATTTGTATACAACATGGTAGCAATTTTTGTTTCTCGTGGTTTCTCGAAAACACTGCGAAGAACTGACACAAACATGCAAACTTTTGTACACAACAAATTTCACCCGTTGTAGTTATTGAGAAAAATGGGTTGCATATCAAACATGAAAACTGATCATACACTATAAACCAAAAATACCTTTTGCAACATGGGCGCAACATCGGACACCTAGAATGTTGGCGTGCGTACGAAGCAAAACACATATACTAGCTTGTAACATGTTGGCATGTGTATGAAATGAGACATGCGAGCTTGCATGTCTAAACAACCTCAAAGATTTCCTAAACTTGCTTACCTAACCATCAACATTTGAGGCAGTTGACCTTCCCACTTTTGGACTCAAGACCCCAAATCTGCCTAGCCAGACAACGTCACCGGATATAGCGGGAGTCGAGGTTCCGCTACAAATCGAACGTCACATTTTTTTAGCAATTGAACGCCGAGATGGCAAATTATGTTGTTGCGAGGATGACAATTTCCTCTAGCAAGCATGGCAAATCCTTGTCATGTTTAGTTTTTTGCTAGAAATTGCCATGCTTGCTAATGGTAACTATCATCCTCGTGATAACATAATTTGCCATTAAAAATGTTTAATTTGCCATGCTTTTAAACCCAACATCAGATTTTTAACATTTATGTTATTCTAAGGCCTCTTTGGTGTACGGGAATTTGTAAGAATTCTACTCCTAGAGCCCGTTGGTTTGCAGAATAGAATCACATTTCTGTACATGATTGGTTCCAATCCGACGTATTTCAAAGTAAAAGAAACTTTAACTCAGACCTAATGGAAGAGGTCATATCATGTGAATCGAATGATGTCTGTTTTCGTATCTCTGTTCATAGGATCTGGGATACAAACCATCTCACTTCTCATAGCTTTCATATTCAAAAAAGGCCTAAACGAAGAGACAATGTAGCGATCGAATGAGTTTTCACGAAAAGAAAAACGATCCAACTCAAAAGTAGCCTCTTTTTTTTTTGCCTTTGCTAAGCATCGGCAAGTGACGATCTGACGTCTGAAAAAACAGGCAGACGTTGTGACCTTTGGTCCTTGACACCAGCGACAGATGATGCTGGTGGAGAGGGTTGGTGGCTCTGTGTTCCTCGTTTATCACACGTTAAGTTTTTTTTTTTTTTTGCGGTAAATTGGAGCACGCGATGCCAGCGACAGATAGAATACACTCTATCCTTACACAAGTGGAATAATTATCATAACTCATCAGCCACAAACAGAGAACCCACATAAGAGAAATGTGTCAACCTCAAGGTAATTTATGATATGATAGAAATTACGAGACTTTGTACAAACCTGGAGGCACCTTCCGTGCCTCTTTCCCCCCTCCCCCGACAGAGGAAACCAGGCAGGCACGAGGCACACCCCCAACCCTGCTGCAACTTCTTCAGCTAGCCAACAGCACACGCATGAACGTATAAGATGTCCTCATCCCGGCATCTGCAGGGCTCCCCGCCGGGAGTCGGCGAGCCGCTTCGGGGTGCCAGAAGCTTTACAACACGCTTTACATACACTACAGGTAACCGAGGCGAGTTTAACAGTTACACCCCGTATGCTCAGACGAAGTGAGCACCCTGCAGGGGGAGAAGGCCCGAAGACCGCAATCTAGAAGCATATAGTGTTTTTACGCTGTTCGTGATAGGCTGTAGCTACATCTCTTCCTGATGCAGAGCAGGGGGTGGAGGTAGCGGAGGCGACTGGGACGTCTGCTGGGGCGGCTCTTCAGCTTTGTTGTTCACTTTGATCTCCAGCAGCCGCTCGACCGGCTGACGGCAGATGGGGCACCTGGTGGTCTGGTACCTCAAGACCTTGGCGCACTCGCTGCACATACACTGCGGCAAAAAATTTAGTGTCAGTTACTAGAGATGCTAGCACAGAATCGGTTGCCAAACAGCCCATAGCACTGGAAATGGACATCAATCAGTGAATATTGTAGGAGATTTTTCTGGAACAGTAAATAGAATATGAAAGATTCAAGATCACGCTTGGTAAACAATATAGTAGAAGTGTAATAACAGACTAAATCTCTGGAATTTATGTTTTTTCTACAATAGCATAACTGCAGCATTATAGCTTAATTAACTTCAAACGTAGATATTCACACATAAGCTTCTATATTTATAGATTTGAGACTTACCATATGCCTACATGGAAGGACAGTAGTATCCCTAGGTTCTGAGAGGCATATGACACATTCTTTCCCAGGATCATTTGCATCAGTGTCCCCTTCCACAGAGTTTCCTATCCCATATATTTCCTGCAATTCATACCTGGTGCCATTCACCCAAAGGATCTGACTAACAACTCGTACTTGATAGTCACCGCTTTCTTTCTTTTCAAACACAGCCTGTGTGATCTGCGAGTTTGGAGTTTTGGGTTTCTGGTCTTCCCCCTCCGATGGTTGATCAGCAGCCAATGTTGTTTCAGCTTTAACTGCAAGTGGATATATTTCCATTCCCCCCTGTTTCAACAACTCAGAGTCCTCAAACGCTGAGAAGTCAATTCCTGTCCCTGAAGGTTGCCTAAACTTCTGGCCAAGACCCTCTTTGAAGCTAACAGTAACAGGCTTAATCAAGTCTGGCTTCATCGCTGTTAGATTGCAGTTGAGCTCTTCCTTTGCAAAGAAGTAGACAGTCATGCTGTTCAAGGAAGTAGATCAAGAAGAATGGTAAATCACCTAATAACATTACAGAAAGATAAAGACTTCTTTTGACTGTATTAAGGAAGCTGTAATGCTTTAGTTATACAACATGAAAGTACAACAACACTACATAATTAATAACAATGCAGCTCTAGCACAAAACACCAAAATCCTCTACAAACATACCAGTGTCATATTTGCAGGAAGGACAAATCCAGTGTGCTTGGTATAGTGCTCCCAGAATAAACAAATTTAATTCAAATACATATTTCGCTAACCATTAGCAATTTCGCAACTATTACACTTAAAATTATTTTTGAGAAAAATGTAGCAAGATGCATGCTTTATAACGGAACAGTATCGACAGCTTGGTAGAACTGAAATTCTAAGAATTCTTTTTGGTGGCTCATAATCAGAACACATCAATTCCAAACAAACTAGAAAGAAAGACTTGCTTTGTACAAAAATCTGGGTCACAGACAGATTATTCAACCAAGAGTGGTTGTGCTACAAAAATGATGATGAAAGAGGGAAAATGGTACTATTGGGGATGAAGACCTTAACAGTTCCAAATATAACTCCAAGGATGGAAACATGTTGGTTTAGAGAATAAAATATATGCCTACAGTAACAACCGAGCAGAAAGTAATGCAGGGAAGAATGAGTGGGGATAATATACATAATATCTAGCGTTGACTAGGCCACCTCGGAGAATAGGGCATAAGTAACACTTGGTGTTAACAATGCGATGGAG